TTTAGCGAGTACATTAAGATTTGATGTTCTACTTAGCATTCTGTGTTGATTTGTATATTGATGAAGACTGTTGATCGGTTTGAACGATATTATTATTATGCGAAGTTGGAATCAATTGAACCTGGTGATTTAATTGGAAGCCATTTATTAATCTTGAGGATGCAACGTGAAAGCGATTGTAGAATTCATTCGCCACTGGCACCAACGATACTCTATCACTCTTGCTCGAAATTAACGTTGCCCGTATAAAATATTGAATAAAATCTTTCATAATGTTGATGGTATCTGCTAGGACTGCTTGATGTAGTTGAGTGTCGAGCGTAACGGTTTTCATGCTTGAAGATAATAGATCAACTTTATTTTCTAGTCGTTTGTTACTATCGATAAGCTTTGCCAGATTATCATTGATAGATTCAAAAGCTTTTTCTGTATCTGATGTACGTGGTTGCGCAATATTCCATTGTTTTTTAGAATGATTATCACTTGTTGTTAATGGTGGAAAATCTTGATCACAGAGTTCGAATACAGGCGATTTTTCTTGCAGTGATAATCGCTGTAAGAATCCTTTTTGTATCGCATCTTCAACGTCCTCTTTCAATTGGTCTTTATATTCTTTTTTAACTTGACATTGACTATCTAATGAATGATGATTTCCATCACATTGAGCACATTTCGGTTCATTTTTACACATATGCGGAGTATCCACACTCAAATTCTCAAGACAAATTCGACATTTGTTTTCTGAATTGCATTTATTTCTTAAATGACCTAAACACCAACATTTCGTGCAGTATGTTAGCCGGTTACCAGGATAAAACTTGGTGATCGATAACCACGAATGACCTATTGCTATTCGACCCAGTTGGAGAACAGCATTATATTCACTATAATCTTTTACATCGAATCGATAATCATCTGTTCTTCTTTGGTATGAATAATGAATACGTTTAATTCTGTCTGCAGAGGCAATTGTTCTCTGTATTTCATTTGAGACAAAATTTTCTTCTAGTTCCCTAGGAACGTATCTTACTACCAGAGCAAATGAATCGGGTACATATTTAGGTTTCGCAACGACAATATCAATTCCATTTATCTTTGTAGGCCATTTATCCGAACCAACGAGCGTGGCGTAATCTTCTTTATTATTAACACCTAACTTGAGCTTTTTTCCTGACCATCCTACTAATGTAAACTTCTTAATTAAAACCCCCTTCGATTGTAATTCTTTAAGTATAAGATCACTCGCTTGAAGAGCTGTTGGAATACTATGACGATCAGCCTCCGAGGTGAATTCGATAAAAAAACATGGCAGATTAGAAGATACCGCGTGCTTCAATTGATTAAAAGAAATTCTTTTACGATTCGTAGAAGCTTGATTTATCACTTGATGTTGTCTTTCACCTGACGACGTTGAAGACGATGGTTGTTGTGGTTGTAAATTAATCTCCTGTTGTACATATTGCGATTGCTTATGTGCGCTGCTGTCGATACCTTTTCGAGGATATTTACGACGACCCCTTCCATTGTTGATCGAACTTCCACTTTCGTCTAGCGGATGTCCACGCCTAGGAGTTGAATTCACTGGTTGCACTATTTGTTGTTGCTGATTTGACTTGGAATAATTTGTTTGCAGAAACTTGTGTACGCTTAAAGCTGCTTCCGGACATTCCGATAGAAATCTTGATATAGATTCAACTTGAACATTTGATATAGACCTCTGTTCCAGTATCTCATATTCGTTTCCGGAAAGGTGATCATTATTATGACCATTATTATTATTATTAACCCCCTCTGCCATCATTCCTCTCTTATCGACTTAGAGAGGCAGATGCACGAGGAATGTAACAATATCAAAAAGAAAAATGCGACTATTCTTCACGAAGCAAAAGGATGGAATGTCTAGTTAGGTTCTCAGCATATCACTGTATGCTTCGAGTTTTAAACTGAAAATCTTTTATTGATAGAAATTATTATCGAGACTAATACTATGATTCCAAAGAGTATGATCATGCAGCCTTGATTCTTCTGCTACTTAAAGTGAAGAATAGAATGCGATTTTCTATATGTAGGAACTTCAAAATCATTTTTTTTCGGTCATGGTTTAATAGTTTTTTGGTATTGATCCCGGCAAACTCAAAAATATGGACCCAATCCCGCCAGAACCGGGCCTACTTTGCAGATACCTATGTAGATGTCGAGCATTAAGTAACTAGGAAATCAACTTCTTAAAATGAGTTCTTTATCTAAATCTGACGTTATACCACTTATAATTCTTCTAGAATGTGTAATTTAATTGAAAACACTCACCAAAAAGGTTGTCAAATGAATTCATACTGTAATGAGAAATCCAATAATAATTTTGTAATATTAATCTAAAATAAAAAGTAGACTAAAATGAAAATTTAAAATAACTCCAACACTTGACTAGTTCACATTGCAGCATCTATTGTTCCGTGTCACATGGAACTGTATGCACTACACTGTATCTTCTGTACATCATCAATATCAAGAATCTATATACTTGCTATATCGATTAGCTATTTTCTGATTTAAAACCCAATATTCTCACATTATTTTTAACGTATTCAACAATGTCTAACGAATTTCTATAAGACTAATGGTGAGTAGTGAATGTTAACACTCAAAACCAGTACAGATTTTGAGTATTTAATCACAAATTTAATTTCTAAAAATTTGAATGGAAATTAAATGGAAAATTAAACGACAATATAATGATAAAACTTAATAATATTTCCAAAGACAATGATTGTCTATCCAAAATAATCTATTTATAAATCATAAAATAATACAGAGAATTTTTCGTTTTCAGAGACTTGCACAGAATATTTTCGAAGCAGTTGATAGATATTTTGTGTCTTCTTTTCACCATCATCTTTTTTTATCATGATATTGTCATTAACGTACATGCGCCACAACCTATTGATTTCTTTTTATTATGCTAGACGTTTTCGTTTCGAATGTGTAGGAAAAGAACGAAGAAAATAGACATGTGTGTTCAGATAACTTTCTGTCTTATTGTATGCGTGCAGAGAGAGAAAATATGTAACAAGATCATTCGCCTTTATGTTTTTCTCTATTATTAGAGAAGAACATATGTATAGTGATGGGCCGAAACTCTAACGCACAATGCGTTAGAAGGGCGTAAGAACGAAAAACATATCTGCCGACTATTGAGTACGTAAGACGTAATTTTCCTTTTCTTTCTGCGCGAAATTACGAATACCGTCTTTAGCATGACATCAAAATATAGCAACTTGATTCCGTAATTTCGTACAGAAGGAAAGGAAAATTACGTCTTATGTAGGCAATAGTCGTCAGACTTTTTGTTTTCGTTCTCACGCTTTGCACGTTATAGTTACTGTCCATCAGTACATATGTATTTCACTTTGACTATCATCAAAATACAACTGCCATCTTCAACAAGGCAAATATATTTTCTATGGACTTATTCAGAAAAAGAAATTCTTCATGCCAAGAGGAAAACATTTTAATATAGAATTTTAGAGACTTTAAAGATGCTTCAAGCAGAAAACTTACGTAGATGTTTATTTTTAGTTAAAGATAAAAAGCTATTTAACATGAGGTACTCAACCACGAGGACGTATTGGTTGATCGGCATTGCCATGTGATCAAAACAAATCGCTGGTTCTCTCAGAACATCGACAAATATTTCATTTATTTTTTTCAAACTTTACTTACCGGTGAAAATATTAGTGTTTTAAAAAATACTGTGAGTTCAACACCGTCACCATCGGTAAAAACCAATTTTTCCTTGATAAATAAAATTCTGATTATATAGATAATTTTATCAATCATAACACAATGGGATAATTTATCGACTGCATCAAATGATCTTGATCATTTTACAATAATATCAAATTTTCTAAAATCTTTTTCATCTGAACATGATTGTAAACAAAGTGAAAATGGACAAAACATTTTCATTTGTTGTTAATTATATTTAGATGTTCAGTGCATTTTATAGTATAAGCTTTGCTTTCTATCTTATTTTTCTTATTTAGGCTTGATCGGCTTTTAATCCATCAAAGGATTCTTATCAATATCATTCTTATTTGAATCTGAAAAGACAATTATTTTGATTTCGTGCAGAAATAATAAACATGTATTTATATATTATAAATGAAGTGACATGAATTTCGTCACGAAATATTAACTAATATTGAGGTTAAAAATATTTAGCTTTTAGACAGAACATTGCTATATTCTTTTGAAGATTTTTGGACTAGTATTTTAATTAGTATATTTTAAAAAGTTTCTTTATTTTTTTTTATATCATAAAAAAGAAACTCCTCTTCAAAATATTCAGTTACAAATGAATGCAAAACAATCAAAATGACAAGTACAGCAATAGCTTCATCTGAATCAACTTATGTCTTCATTTAGTTACTCTAATTGTTTGCAAGGAAAAGCGTGTCAGTCTTTCTGTTCTATTCTTTATTGTATTCAGTTATTTATTATAAATTACTTGAAATCATTGATTGTAAGTTACTTGCTCGAAAATGTTATGGTTGCTTTAATGTTTTCGAAAGCTATTTTAATGGATAACTAATTCCTAATAAAAAAAGATCATATTTACAATATTTTTTTCGGTTATGGCGAGTCGATGATTAATGTTGATTTGTCAACAAAAGTAATAATAATGCCTTCAACTATTATTACACCTTTATTTGCATTTACTTGTGCTTTTGTCAATAAACTTGTTCATCAAGAAAAACTCAAATCTATCGATGAATTACGATCACATCCAAAACGTGATCAATTACTTAATAAAACACAACAACTTGGTTTAAAATATCTTGAAGAATTCGAACAAAAAATCCCTCGAGATGAAATGAAACAAATGGAGGTACATTTTATAATTTTCTTATTTAATAGAAGAAATAATATCATATATATTTTTAGACAATTCTTTTGCGTGAGATCACTGCAATGGATAATCTATTAAGAGCAGAAATCGTCGGTAGTTATCGACGAGGTAAATAGTGAAATTAATTTTNGTTGGATCAACCGGTACATTAAGTAAACCGCTACCAGTTACATCTGAGCGAGATATTTTTGATTATCTTCAAATGGATTATAAAGAACCTCATGAACGTAATATGTAAATGAATAGTTTTTTGTTGTTATTATTGTGTGTATATTGAACAGAATACTCTTAGTAGTTTTGGTTAGGCTTTGAAGAATGTATATATTGTCATAGTTACTCTTCTTGTTGTCGATTACTGAAAAATAGTAATGAACAAGAATTGAAATAAATAGGAATCTCTTATTCTCAGTGATATAACTCACTTGATGACAGTTGTTTATCTCATATTCTATCAATTATACAGAGTCTATCATAGACATACTTTATAGATTAGCTGATAAATATATCTAAAGGATTATTCAACCAATTCTAAATTAATCTATTGACCAATTCTAGTAAACGACCATAGAAGTTACAAAAAAACTGCTAACTACTAATATAAGCTTAATAATCGTGATTATCTTTTCAGTTTTGAATTCGAGAATAACGTATTTGCTATTTTTTGTTTTACTTCTACTAAAATGTAATTGTCATTGAAAATGGAAATGAATTGGATAATTATAATGATAACACGTACAGTTGAACTGTATCGTAAATTAATTCAATATCTAAATAATAAGACTGTATTGTTCTATATGACTAACAAGGATTTACAATATTGAATTGGTAATATTTAAGAATAGACAGAAAGTTGCTGCCAGGAACAACTAACTATGTACATAATAAGTTATGTTTTCATATATTATATTATCGAAAAACACTGACATAGATGTTTTTAATCGATAAAATAATTTTGCTTTGTTCCAAAAAAAATACAAAAAAAACAATAATTCAAGAAATTTCATAACGATTTATTGTCAAATAGATTTGCACTTTGAATAACTTTTTTCTTGCTGAATATGACAATAATTAAGAGCAAAAAAGTTAATGAAGCACAAAGAACATCCGACTAATTACAATAATAGAATAGAAACAAAAAAAAGAGAAGGGTGCAGAAAATACATATGGATTGTCTTAGAAACGCTTTTAAAATATTTTGTTCATTGTGCCCAAGCTTCAAGTTGACGTAATTCTTCTGATTGATTATTTGTTTTAACTGTTGTTGTTGTTGTTGTTGTTGTTGTTGTATGAATAGGTACATCAGGTAATGGTCCAATTTTCATCATATCGTCTTTGATTTCTTCTTGAGCTAATAATTCTAACTCTCGTTCTAAATCAGCATCATTGTACAAATCTGATGAGCCAATTGGTGATGAAATTGCATTTGCAATTTCTTCAGCTTAAAATATTATAATAAAATCAAAATGTGTATAATATTAAAAAAACAATCAAATAAAAGAGAAAATCATACCAACACTATGTTGTTCAGCTAAATCATCCATCAAATCCTGTACTTGATCAGCATCTAAATTTTGATTAGTTTTTTTTAAAGCACTTGCTGCTTGTCTCATGACATGTAAAACATCCATATTTGTTGATGCATTTTGTAAATATTCTCGTTGAGTTTCTAGTGTTGTTAATGTTCCATCTAATTGAAGTAAAGTTTTTTCGAATTTTTTCTTTCTTTTTAAAGCCAGTAACGCTCCACGTTTATTTCCTTGTTTAGAACAACGTAGTGCTGTTATCTTTTCTTGATCAATTTGAGACTCTAAATGCTGTTGTTTTTTATTGAGCATTTCTTCAACATCCGATAAATGTTTAATTGCATCTGACGATGATACATTTTTTGAGTCATCTTTTTTTGAACCAAAATCAAATATGCGTTGGAAAACATTAACTGGCATTGTTTATTTTTCAAGATGATCAAACTAAAGACAAAAGATAGAAAGACAAAACTCGATGCTAAACAAGAAAGAAAACTCCAAATTGTTATCTATGACTCATTTAATTATTGTCATTATTTTTACTTCGAGAGATTTTTATTACAAATCAAGTTTTCTTATTTTTGAATTAATAGAAATTTTTTTCATGAATGATTATTTGATCAATGAAAGAGTAGAGGTCATACCATGGTAACCAGATATGGTTCATGGCGATTGGAGAATAAAACATTCTAAAATAAAAAGTAGAAAGTTATTTCTTTTATTTTCGAAAAGAAAATGTCACCAGCATCGACATCAGGTGGTTCCCATAGCGGAAATGGCTCATCATCTTCGAATGGAAAACGTAACGGAAATAATTATCGTTACCGTACTGTCAATGCACAATCAGAAGTTGATGAAACTTTATTTGGTACTCCACATCGATTAGCAACAGCTGCAAAAATGAGAGCAGAACGCCAGCAAACTCAAGATTATCAAGAAAAACCATTACAAAATGCACCAAAACAACCTGCAACTGTTAAAAAAGAATTTATTAGGCATATTACCAAAGATCTTATTCGAGATATCATGTAAGTTGACAAGAAAGAAAAACATAAGAGATTATCATATTATTTTTTTCTTTCTATCATAGTGTTCCGGAAGATCCAACATGTACATCAGTTATCATTGATGGATCGACGTATCAACGTCTATCACATGCAGCTAGTCTTAAACCTAAGGAAGCACGTGAACATGAAATTTTAGAATCTAAACGAAATCGAGATTCAGTTGAAGTATGTTGATTTATAATCGTTAGTTTCTTATTTGAACTGTGTTTCACTTAGGACGAACTTAATCGTCGTAAAAAAGCAATGCAAGAATATGATCAACATCGTAAAAAAAATGCTCCATTAGAAGATATTGATCTAGAAGCCAAAGAAGAAGCTGAATATATGTTAAAACGAGCCAATGAACTTCGACAAGAGCAAGAAGATGAAGTTAAACATCTTAATGAAGTTAGTTTTATGATGGTTTTTTTGTTGAATAAAATGTAAGACTTTACTTTTCTTTTCAAGTTAATTCTCAATGCAAAATGTCATGCTATACGTGATGCACAACTTCTTGAAAAACAGCAAATTAAAAAAGAAATGGCTGAAGAAGATAAGCGATTAGATATGATGATGGAAATTGAACGTCTTAATGCACTTAAAATACAAGAAGAAATCGAACAACGACGACATGTACAAGCTAAAGAGTAAGAATAATCAAATTTTAAAGATAACATGTTATATTTTAGCAAAAAGTTATCATGTTGTATCTCATTATTATTGAAATGCAGCTTTCAGCATTTCAAAAAACAATAAAATATTTATTGAGCATGAAATAAAATCTATTAGAAGGTTGTAAATTCGATGAAAAATCCACATCAATTCCGTAGATATCTCATTTTCTTTCGTCTCATCTAATTTAGTATATTATACACTATCATAAAATACCACGGCGATGATAATATTAAGAAAAGGAAAATATTTCACAAATATTAAGTCCATTCCCCTCTCGCAACACCTTAGAGGCTAGTATTGTTATTATTAATATTTCTGTGCGACACCACAATGTTGACGAAATAGACTCAAATCTCACAGGCCATTTGACTTAATGTTATAATTACCAGAGTAGAGACGTTCAGTACGAATCAGACAGAATTGAAATAATGCTGCCCTATGATGTTTTACTGAGACAGAGTTGTAAATGTTTGAGTGATATTATTATCATTTTTGAAAGTAAGACAGTTTTAAAAGCTACAAAACTAAGACTTTGGATCTGATATTTTGCATATATCCACGTTTGATAGTCATTGAATAGTAGTGGTAACATCGATGAACCCCACCAATGTATTTTTTCTTGAAATAATTGATTTAAAAAAAAGAAGCGGTTGACTACAGAAACACATAATATTGAATCAACTTGAAAATCGATTTTTTAAAAAAAGGATATTTGTTCTTATTGAAAATTTTATGAATATTTAGTAAATATTAAATCTAAACTTAAACATATTTTCAAGTCGAAACAAATTGCTGTTATTTTTTGTTTCCGGCAAAACGTCTGATTCTAAGTAAACATTCCATTTCAACGGTCATCATTCTTTATGAGTACACCATGGATTCAATTCCTTTTAAGTTGGTTTTAATCTTGTGTAGATATAATCTTAGTCATAAAACAAAAATCAACGGTAGTCGACAATTTTAGATATTCTAGCACGACAAAAATCAATAACATAAAAAGTTATTACTTATAACGATCCTAAATTTTAACAAATATTTTTTCTTATTCGACTTTAATGCTTTTTACAATATTATTTTTCTTTCTTTTCATCAGTGGTGCAAGTATGATATTGAAACAAATTGAAGAGAATGAAAAAGAAAAGGTTTATAAAGAAGAAGTTCGTGAACAAGAAAATACTGCCATGTTTGATTATATGCAAAAATTACAAGAAAAAGATTGGGAAGATTTTTCAAAAAGAAAAGACTCACAAAAAAAATTAGCCGTAATTATTTAGTTTTTTAGTGTTTACTCATTGATGTTTAAATCTTTTCTTTTTGAATATTTGTTTTTAGAAAGATCTTTTGAAAGCTAATCGTGAAATTGATGAACAACGTGCTATACGGAAACAACAAGATCGTATAGCTGATTTAGCTGTACTTGAATTTCAAAAAGCAAAAGCAGCACGTGAAGCTGCACAAGAAGCTGAAATTGAACATAAACGTACTGAAAAAGAAAAGGAAGTCGCACGTTTGCGTGCTCAACAAGAACGTGCAAGAGATATACAAGCAGATAAAGATGCTTTGAGAGCTAAACGTGAGCAAGAAAGACGTGAACGAGAATGGAGAGACAAAGAAAAACTCGAAGCATTAAAAAAGAAACAAACTGAAGAAGAAATGCGTTTAGCACGAGAATGGCAAATTAAAAATAAAGAACAGCATTTAGCTGTCGAAGCTGCAAGAGAAAGAGCAGAATTTGAACGTGTACTTAAGTAAACTAATAAAATATTCTAAGAAACAAATATTCATTGATTCAATTTAGAGCTCAGTTGACACAAGCTGAAAAAGAACGAAACGAAGAATTACAACGTATTTCAAAACGTCACAGATTTGCTGATGATTTACGTGATCAAATCGTTCGTCATGAAAAACAAAAAGTTGAAGAACGAGCTGCATTTTTTGACGAAGGTGTTCGCCTTGATGAACAAGCCCGCTTACGTAGACTTCGTCTTGATGAAATTAAAACACAAAAACTTAATGAATTACGGTAATTCATTTACTTTCTTACATTTTGCTTTAGAGAAAAAATTGCTAAAACAAAACATTAATTAACATATTTGGATTTATCTTGTAAATATTGAATATATTTACAACAAAAGTTTAATTTTAATCCTATGAGAAAAAAGTATAGAAAGCTCAAATTAAATATTTTTGTTTCTTATTTGCAAATATCTTTCAGAAGTTTTTAGTTCTTATTAATAAATTTGTTTTTTCGTTTTTTAGTCGTGCTGGTGTGCCTGAAAAATATTGCGCTGATATTGAAAGAAAAATTAATGCACCAATTAATTTGAATACTGACACAACAACGAATTCTCCTGCTGTTCATTAAAATTTATTCTTTAATTAAAATTGAAACAAAAAGGAGGATGCAGAAAAAAGTGTTATTTTTCTCATATATTTCATTGCTGCGTGTATACGCGTCATCTTTCACCTTTCTTTTTTTTTATTTAGACAAAAAGCCTCAACTATGAATAAATATTGCTTCTCTTTCTTCGATTTGATTGATTTTCTGATTTTCTGATTTTGAATAAAACTGATGTCGCTGTGTCAGAGTGTGAGAGATTGGAATTAGGAAGATGACAAGCACAATTTTTATATTCTCTATTGAACTTTCTTTTTCATGGTTTGTCTACGAAAAAAAACAAAAAAAGAAGAAGAAATTCAGAATAAATAATGTAATTACAGTCAGCAACTATCTAGGCGATATGGTCGACATCAATTATAGACGAAAAAAGAGAAAACTTCAAGACTTCAGGAGAATGAACGAAAAGTTTTAGAAATTGCATTAAGTGTCGTTTATATGAAGAAAAACGCTTTTTCTTTGTTATAGATATCAAATGAACAAATGTCAGTTTCAACAAAAATTGACATTCAACTTTATTCTAAATTTTATGTTGAAAGAAAATCTCATCAATGCTTTTCTTTTCATTTTGTTCTATAGTGAGAAACTCTTTTGATCTGATCGTCAGAAACAAAAAATTAATAATTATTGAGAATAACTGCTGAAAAAGAATTTTTTAATAAAATTAAACACACGAGTAAAAGATATGTGATTCTTTTCGTTTTCGATTAAATATAAGGTAAACCTTGATTCATCACTGATGAATCATCAGTATGATAAGAAACTAAAAAAACATTAAGAATCAATACAGACGTATAAATGATAATTAATTATGTAAAACAGGACAGAGAATAAATATAATATTTATCTACTGATAGTTCGAGTTTCTATCTTCAGAAAATCGATTATAATGAAACTTTAAGCAAACAATTATTTTTTTAAAGGGGACCTATCATGTTTGATTTCTGTAGCATTGTATTCGAACTTCGATAAGAGAAAATCTAACGAAAGAGTACTATCAAGCCATAGAAAATATGTCTATCCTTTGAAACTATTGAAGATCTGAGTATTTGACAAAAAAAATGTAGTATTAAGATGTTTTCTAGCGCTACAGTAAAACTAAGCCTAGAACAATAACCATACTTCATTTTCTGTGTTTAATAATGATTACGTTGTAATTCGTCGAGAAATGATTTTTGAAACTTCTTCTAATTTGATTCATTTGATCTTAGCAGAATTATCTGCATGCAACAATAATAAAATATTTCATTTTACTTTAAAGAAAAAATTCTGTGCAGCATTTCATTATAAATGATTACAAAAACAATGACTCGTTCATGTTCTTGATAAACATTCATTTCGAACGAAATTTTTATATTTTGAACTTTTCAAAACTTGTTGAAATAATGATTTTATATCTAAGAAAATATTATTTGCTGATTCAAGAGCGCATTTTCCAACAAATTTTTATCCGATAAATACAATCGCGTAATTATTTTATTTCTTAGAAATTGACAAAATGATGCTCTTAGAAAAATTCGAATGCATATGTTTGAAGAAATTTAATCGTTAGTAATCCTATTGATATTTTATCTATCTCCTTTGTACAATGAAGATGAGCCACTTGAGAACGAACAATCTATTCGGCGAAATCTTTTTGATATTGAAAGAAATCCATGGGAAAAAATGTTTACCAAGTCAACGATTAGAATTATTCCTCGCTTCTACCATCGATCTTGAATAAACTATGTTTGTTTTTATACTACATAGCTAGGCTCTAAATTATTCGCTTGTGATGTAAGTCATTTAATGAATAGCTTTTTTATTTACAATTTTCTCCTTGATTTCTTTTGCTCGTTTCTAAAATTCAAAACTGATCCTGTGCATTGATATAAACGAATATTTTGATATTTATCAAATCTTTGAAAATTTGTTTTTAATTTCCTATTAGTTGACTTCCTGTTTTTCTATCTCAGTAAGTCTAGTGTAGTTGTGAGAATATTGCTAATTTCGTTAATTCGAACGAGTTCTTCAAAAAATAAAATGAAAAGTTCATTGCTTCTATCGAGTCATTTTAATGTAAACATAGTTGTTTTTATATTATTTGAATGTAGAACTATTTATTCAATCAAATAATTTTGTAACCAACAAATATCTTGAAATTTAAAATTTGACTAATTAGACTTTGTTTCAAATCAACAGATATGCGTTTCATTTATACAACAGTAAACATAATGTTCTAATTATTAAAAGAATATAAGAAAATTAATTTACAACAAAAAGAAACTTCAATTTTGATTTCATCGAATTCATCAAGAATTTATTTAATCATAATAATGCTTTTACATTAGTTGATTGGAAAAGATCTTTTCAATAAATAAAATAAAAACTTTCGAGCTCTTAGTAATATTTGTTAAATAATTCATAGACCAAACAATCTTATTGACAAATAACTAATGTAATGAATTCTTAGCGAATACAGCTTAATACATTCATTTATAGTTATATCTGTTCACGTTTAATTACTGAAACAATCTATATGAAAAATATTCTGATCAAGAACTATCGGACTTACGTTGATACTAGAGAAATTATTCACTACTACCCCATTACCCATATCGCTACATTTACATTGACAATCGATAGATAAATATAGAAGGCAATCGAGAAATAGCGGATTGCATGTTTAATTAGTGCCGATTACGACCAACAACTGTTACTGCAACAATATAATTATTTTGGACAACTGTGTATATTTATCTTGTGACATGAAACTCACGAAAATAAAAATAAAAAAGAATGACCATCTATATGAAAAAGAATAATAAATAAAAGATTCGATTTTCATTTGCAAAATCCTAGACAACGAAGCTAAGAAGGCATTGTGTAGATACATATCGAATCAAAATGTATTGGTGATCGTTGGAAATATTTTTCACTGAATAATTTTGATATGTTGATATGAAATTCGTTTAAACATTGATCGAAAATTAATTCTAATTTTATTCTATAAGTGTCTTGCCATTTTAAAAACAATTTTAGCTTGGTAATGCCTATAAAAACAAAAGCTTCTCTAGTGAAATTTGTGGCTTTCTTTCAAAATGAAAACAAAAGTTTTCAAGTTTTTGATATAAACTATGTTATTTTCAATAAAATACCAGTAGCAATTTGTTTTTCGATGAATCAATGATTAAATTTATATACCATGACATCAAATCGATATTATAGTAAAAGGATAATAAAAAGAAACTAAAAGATCAATACCACGAAATGAAATAGAAAAGAGAAAGAAATAAAGATATATATATTCGATCATAGCCGAATAGTATTGGTACTTGTGTCAATATTAGATATAAAATAGAACTATTAAACTTCGTTATTTATCATAAAATTTATCTACAAGTAAAGAGTGTTCGATTTGAGTTCTTTGTAAACAAATTCATGATTTCCATTTCATCGATTTGAAACCATATTGACTCAATAATATTTACAGTGTTAACTGATAAGGAACTTCTATATGAAGAGATATAGCTTATGTGTAATCGGATCAAAACTTTAAACAAACATTTTTATCTTTAATCATCACAATTGAAAGTGAGTATTAAGCTATCTATCTATTCTCAAGCTTTTATTTTGTTACATGAGTGCTATTTTATCTGATAAAAATAAACGAAAAAAAAAGCAAATACATTTATAACTTTATTTCAATTTGTTAACAGAAGCGAACGAATATGATCATGTGGAAACATTGTAATATTCTTTTTCTTTTTATTCTTCTGCTCGAAAAATGTCCTTTAACATTTCATTTTCTAATGCCAAGTCCACAAGAATTAATGCTTGTTCCATCTGTCGCTTTTCGCTATCATTCACCTACATTGGCATCAACAGTGCCTGCTCAACCTTCAGATGATTGGATACTTTATGCTCAAGGTTACATATATTTTTTATTTTCTTTATCATATTCGTCGAAGAACTTACGATTGTTACAGGTTGGCTTTTCTCAGAAAATCGCTTTCGTGCAGCACTGGCCGAAGCGGCACTTTTAACAGCGGTCGACGATATAGATGAACAACGTGTAGCTTCTTTTACAGCAAGTGGTAGACGGTACATACCATTATGCATTCGTGGTTTAAAACATGAAATGTGTGCAAAAACCGATAAACAGGGCTTAATTGGAAAACAGTTTCAAGTATCAAATGATGATATTGAACAATTTCGCATTTCGGGTGGTAGTGGAGGAAGAGTAGAATATTCTGTATCCACATATGATAACAAAACTCATGCAAAAGGCGAAGTCTTTCTGTGTGATGATAATGGAATATCAGTAATTAGTGATATCGTGAGTGTTTATAGAGAAAGAATATGATATATTGAAATATACTAATCATAGGATGATACAATTAAAATTACTGGAGTATCAAAAATTAGTACTGTACTTCGCAATACGTTTTCTGGAGAATTCAAAGCAGTACCTGGCATGTCGGAACGCTATCGTCATTATGAATTAATTTATAATGCAACATTTCATTATTTAACGGCTTCGCCTGATCAATTCTATCCATTTTTACGTGAGTTTTTCGAACGTGATCGATTTCCATTAGGTTCATATCACATGCGACATTTTACATGGTTTGATTCGAATTTCTTTAAATTTTTTGCATCAAAATCATTCATTCGACAAAAAACAAAAATTTTAAACATGTTTTTTCAACAAACCCGAAAAAGAAATTTTATATTAATTGGTGATGCTTTTCAAAAAGATCCAGAGATTTATGCAAATATTTATCAAAACTATCCTGAAAGAATTTTAAAAGTATTTATACGTACACCAGAGAAAAGTATTGGTAATCGACTAGAACAAGTTTTTGAACATATTCCAAAACATAAATGGGCTACTTTTGTTGATGGTTATGATTTACCTGAAACAATTTTTTAAGAATAAAAACTTTGATATGATGCATTTATGTTTTGATTTAAAAATATTGGTTTATCGTATATTCATTCGAACTAGATGAATGTTCGAATGAAAGAGATTTTCCGAACTTCATGAGAACTATATTTTATTGAAAAGTAAAAATATGCGCTACAAATTCTCGGAAACAATGTACCTGTAATAGATGATTGATTATGTGTGTATACGTATATAGTTATTCAAAGAATTCAATTGAATCATATTGTCTAGAGAGAGGTGTGATTTATCTTGCTTTTTAAATTGATTGTTCAATAAGTAAACTATTGTCATCGCCAAGATTTTGCTTTTTTTAAGTCACAAAATATCAACATACTCAAAGCCACTATTACTTAATGCATACGAGTCATAAAACTGTAAAAACTATGAGTAGAGATTGAAGAATAGAATCGGTGAAAACTTAACAAATTCTGAAATGGTGTGATGGAGCAATCTTTTGTAATTATGGTCGTAACTGTACACGGTCACTTTTACTTGATTCACACCACAATTTCGTCGCATAGAAAAAGTACAGAACTAGACATACAATGAACAATTCAATACTTGCATCAATATATCACATAATTCAAATATATATTCTTGGATAAAATATTGATGATGATTTCTTCGGCGAAAAAATGATTCAAATAATCAAGAGATCCAATGTCGCTACTACCATAATAAATATATAGAATGGATTTCACACGGACTTGTAGCGAAAGACATTTTGTAGAAGATTTCTTTTAGCAAGATAATCAATAACAATAATGCTACTGACCTATATGAATATTCGTACAATCCGAACATTTTCACTGCAGTTGGAAAATATCTAAAATACGGAAATTATTCTTTTATTAACTCGAAATAATAATGGGTATGTACTCTAATGAGATTTCAATATCTTAAGTTAGCTTATAAATAATTTAACTGCACTGATCACATTTAGTTTTCTTGATTTTTTCCAGATAATTATTCATTTATAAATACAGATGAAAAGAAAAAGAACGAATAGAATAATTAAAAACTTACCGAGAAAAGATCTTCTCTAGCTAGATAGACATTTGATAATGATGAGAAAATATAGTTCATTCTCACTTACGTACATTTTTAGAGAAATATCTATTGTAAACTATGCTCCTAAATTATTATCTTACGTTAGTATAATGAGGAATAATATTTCCTATTCATTAAATTAAATTAAAATATAGAACAGTGAATCAAACTAAACTGTATCAAATGTTCGAACATTTGGTATAGTTGAAAATAAGATACGTAACTCATCGTATCAAATCGATGGTACATTTTATTAGTAAATATGCTTATCAAAGAAGAAAAAGAAAAAATAAGAAACAACAATAATTTCTGTCAATTAGACTTATCGCAATCATTGTCAGATTAATTTTCATAGTAAAACTAAACTATTCTCTCCAGGACGATTGATCCGACAGTTGGATCCCGTCGGATCCTATCGGAAAAACTATCGGACTATATCGGATACGATAGGAATTCGTTGGAAGTTGTCAGAATCCTTGGTATCGGATGCCGATAGGAAGTTGTCGGATGTCGGAGTGTCGGAATACAAGAATTCCGACAGGAATCACGATTACTCCGACACTTTCCGTCATCCGACAACTTCCTGTCGGAATCCGATGCCAAAGATTCTGACGGAATTCATGGGATCCGATAGGATCCTATTGGTCAGTTTCGCCCTGGGTCAGTTTACTTTTGCTACTCATATTATTCCTGTTTTCTTTTTCTTATTAACAATATATAATTCACTTACATTTCAATATAACAATTACCAATAATCCATTTTATAGTTCCGCTAATGATAAGTAAAAGTTTGGCTGGTGGAATTTCAGATCTCCAAACAGTCACATACTACTCTTTCTCACTATTATTTCATCATATCATGAAATATCTTCTAGTTGATTTACGTATTGTCGAATGAATACCAGATATAATCAATAAATGCAATATACTACGGACGACGAGTGGAACCATATCAAAATGAATCAAATATAATTTATATGTTCTAATGTATGATAAAATAAATTTTTTTTAGATTTTACAAACATATTCTCAATTCAGATATTTTCGTCAGAAGTTTCTGACTTAATGAAATGTGCTTTCAATAATAAGGTACAGTCTCGTGATAAGAATCTGAAACAGTGAGAATCCTTTAGCTACTCATTTCTGTGAAAAATAGTATGGAGAGGACGAAGTCGACTTTTGCTACAAATGTTACTAATTTTAGAAATATCGATCAAATCTGTTAAGAAATGCAAACCTCATACAGTTCAATCAGGTAAAGTGACGAAGAGACTTTCAACTGAAAAAATGCTTTTAGTCGTCAGATACGAAAGCGAGCGATTCGATAAATAGGATCAAATATCTCATTGGTTACTTTCAAATAGTTACATACTAGGTGTATATTCTTGTTTTAAATAAAAGAAAAAGATATCAAAAATATATTAATATAGTTAAAGACTTTTCAATTAGAATGTATCGAACTATCTTCTTTTATTTTGGATAATATTTTTCTCAGCTTATTGATAATTCAAAAGCTTCTAGTTTCAACGTCATCGCTACATCATGATAGCGTTCAACTTATTTTTAGTTCTAATCATCATAATGATTCATGTATTCACAGGAAGCCTGTCTCTTCAGATAACTTTGATGATGACAACCATGATAAATGAGTTCTCGGTCAATGCTTTCATCTTTCAATTTATTGTGCATATTTTCAGCCATTCTAATCAATGTTCGAATCATGCCTTTCTCGTCATCGAGATCCTCAACATCTTTTAGTAAGGCAATTTGCTGTATTACCAGATCAATAGCATCTTGTGATTTACGTTGCTTGACTAGTTCGGCAATTTTTGAATCCATATCGGCAGCCATCTGTATTGCATAGATGGTCTTCACGCGAGGATCAATCGTGTTGATAAGTGTTTCATCTTCTGCAAGCTCCAACGAAAGTGTCCCCTTGATCACAATGGGCTCACTAGCAACATCATTTGGTTGATTATATTGTAATTCATAGGCAAGCGTCTCTACATCGTTTTCATCTCCATTCTTTGTTCCAGGAACATAAAAATCACACAAAACCGATCTGAGATTATCATTATGAAGATCGCCAAGATTGGCACCCCCAACAATATTATCATGGCCCCATATTTTCGTCACAATGGCACCATTTTTACCGCGTAAAATAAGGCGAGTCTGAGATCCACACACTTTAAACACGCTCATTAGAGCCTTTGTTACCAATGGTTCGATCACTTGAGCAGATTCAAGAAAGAAAAATTTAGCACCGCCAGTGTCAGCAATACCTTTCATGATTTCGGCATCAAAATCTGCACCAATTCCAAATGAATCGGTGATGATTCCTTTTTTATTGTATCCGGCAACTAAATTTGTCAGTTCAGCTCTTGTTTTCAATCCAATATTAGCTTGCCCATCGGAAAAAATGAACATACGCCTTGAAAATCCCGAGTATGAATATTTATCAAGTAAACTGGCTCCTATTTCGATACCACCAGAAAGATTAGTCGAACCATCTGTGACAATATGATCAACAAGCGAATGAAGAAATTGACGAGTAGATGCTCGAGCATTTTCAAATATAATAGAGATATTCGTATCGTAGGCAACCAAATGTACAATATCGTCATCGTGGAGTAGATTGAGTACAGAACAGATCGCTCGCTTTGCAAAAGTTAATTTGTTATCACTTTTCATCGAACCACTACGATCGAGAATGAGAGCAATATTGAGAGGTGTTCTTTGAACTTCCAAATCATTACTTTTTGTTTCGATATCAAAACGTGCTCTTTTATTATTCAAGACACCAGCAATAATATACTTATTATCGGGAGTACATCGCACATTAACTGTTGCCAATTCATTTTTTGTCGTCATTTTCAATATTTGATTAGGAAATACTTCTAGAAATGGAATAGAAATGATGCATATAGTATTCTTTGTTTGAATCTCTTATAGGAATAGATAAGTGACATTCTCATATTCTTACTTACTCTACTAGTAGATAATACTAGTTTTTTCGGTGCGTATTTCTAACGTGCAAGAATTTTATTTTCTTGCCAACAATCTTAAGAGCTAATACAGTAAATAATGTCAGTGTTCAATAAGATATAATATCAATATCTATACAAGGAAAGATTATCAAAATACTTGACATCTATTAGTGTTGAATGACTGTGTTCATTACTCTATCTATTTGAGTGTTGTTTTTCTATTGTCTATATCTTATACTTAAATCCTGAAACATTTTTATCTTACTTTCGATGATTAGATTTCTTATTGATAACCTTCAAAGAACAAAGAAGAAACTATAAGAAAAAGACCTGTTCGAAGAATTGATGATTGGAATGTGAGTAGCTACTGCGCCTTGTGAGCATTTATATATATGTCATGAATAGACGATTTAGTGGTGCAATACCTCTTTTTGTTAAATTGAGTCATCGTTGACGAACAGACACATGAATCATGATTTTTTTCTTCTTGCCCAACAGACGTAATACTAAGATTCCAAAACGACAAAAGATAGAAATGATTCATTGAAAAACAGAACGCAAATTATGCTTTCACAATCTGATAACAATATGTGCATGAACACAATTTAGACATCAATAATAATTTATTGCTATAGTCAAATAAACTGCTTAAATTTTTTTATTATGATCGTTTCTGATGTTATTGTTAGGAAGTATTACTTGACTTATTAGTAGTCGGTCCGAAGTGTAATTGTGATAATTACACTTTTGTCTATTTTATAAATGTTACAATATCTATTTTTAAATAGTTTCATCGATATGTCACAAACACCACAAGCAACTAAAACCAAGTGATTCACTAGCAGATTACAAACAATAAATCACTTATTTTTAATCATGCCGTACTTTTATCTATATGATAACCGATTTTTGAGCAAATTTTACAGAACTTTCTTGTTTCTTTTTTCTCTTGATCTACTATTGAATTATACATAGATTATATTTGAATCTTTTTATGATAATCTTTATCATATAACTTCCGATGTATAATGATAAGATATAAGTTTTGTTATTTGATTGATATGATTTATTGTTTGGATCCTATGATATCAGTGTATGAGTTGAAAAATCATGTCAAATTATTGACATTGAATAACCATATTGAAAAACTACAAAAAATAAAAAAATGAATAAGAAAATATAAAAACAAACTTAACATTAGTAAAAGTGACAAGATGAGTTTCCCGGTAAAAAAAAAGTATTCGGTCCAATATGAAAGAGTACATCTATATACTGACTTGGTAATAACGAATAGCTAATTATCTATGAAACATGTATCTATTTATGAATCTCATTTGATGATGTATAAGCACAAGATACCGATATACATATATATATATATATTGTTTTAGTAGTAAATATTAAATGTAAAATATTAAAAGACGGATCACTACTTGATCATAGACAACTCTCTCGTTTCATTCTTTATTATTCTTAATAGTTGATGCTAAAATTTTTTGGCTTTTTTATACATTGGATACTTTTTTGTTTCGATCTTTTCTATGCATACCTTTTAGGCAATGTTTGTATAATTAGAAATAGTGTTTTTAGATTTAAAGAAAGACGAATTATTTTAAAATTATTACTAATTATTCAGCTAGATTTCAATATAGTCGAATCCTTTTTGAATCATTCGATTTAGGTAACATTTCTCTATTGAATGATGTAGAAAAACACATTTCGAATTCCTTTAAAATTTACACGACAGAAAAACGACGACCAGGTCATCATGTAACTAGCTGTTCAAATCTAGAATAGTGACTGTAATGCTCCCAAAAAATTTAATTCTATCGATTTTAATAATTTCTATCGTTATTTAAGATCAAACTTCACTATCAGTAAAATCTAGCACCTCTTTAATAAGATAACAAAAATCGCAAAATTCATCCTTCTGGAAGGTTATTATTTTTCCTTTCCTCAACATCAGCTAAAGTTTTTAAATAAATATATATGAACCTATCTTTTTCGATACTACTATTTTAAGTAAACCTAGCGGACAGACATATTTTACCTATCATAAATGAACTCACTTTGTACGATGAATAAAAAACGATGACAGCATCTATCCCCAGAAGAGATGCCTTTTCTCTTATGTGCTTCCTGTCGATACAGAAAACAGAATTAGAAGAAAAATATGTTGAGCTTTAAAGGTAGTTTGAAAAATTATTGGATAGTGTTCATTCCTAAACGCTAAAGCTATGTTTGTTAATAAAAAAATTGTGAATGCTACTACCGTTTATTTATCAAATTCATTAGAAACACCAATATCAAGGTCCATCCTGTGATGGACTCATCTGTCATACAGTCATCACTGGGGGTAGTGCCTCTCTTTATCCTTATTCTCTTCCTTTCGTTGTTCTCTATCTCTCTCTTTCGTGCGCACATATAAATACCCTTGTTCAATTGTTGTTCGCCAGTCATTGTTGACTCAATCTTCGTCTTCTTTTTTCTTCCCCCCTTTTCGTTGTAATCCTTCCATAAGTATATGAAATAATAAATCACAAGTAACTCAAAACCGTTACAGATACTATTGAGAATAACGAGAAAGGTTAATAGATCAATTTTTGAACTACATATTATACATGGACGAAGCGACATAATATTCCTTGACTTTCTTATCTTATTCAAAAGTAATCAAAGTAATAGGCAAGATATCCTTGGTAAGTTATTACTTGCGGTTCTTTCTGTCATTCCTAAATAGGGCGAAAAATAAGAGAATATATATGGAAGAGGGAAAATAGAAAGATTCTTTTTTTTATAGTCACACCAACTTCCTACAGTTCAAAGTATACTTCTATACTGATATTCATTGATATTCATTGATACCCACTTTACTCTTTTGATTTGATGAAGGATGCATCAATAAGAATATGAAATGGAACTCAAAAAATATTTCATCTAATTCAATCGATGAGACATATGATAACACTTTATTGATATTAACAGTTGTAAAGACTACCAAGATGATTTGAATAATATGTAAAGAGATATGCGACGTTTTTATTCAGAAGATAAATCTGTTGCTAAACAATTGAAACTAATCAAACTATTACATAAGAATTTTGTTTCTCATATAGAGAACAAATGTTTTTCATCAATATAATCACAAAAAGATTTTCCCAAGATGTTTATATTAAGAGAAATTCAGAGAATAAAGCAACAAAATGAAAATCAACTAATGCCATATATCAATTGGCTTAAAAGAAAATGAAGTATCCAAGTAATAATTTGATTAAAGATCGTTGTTTCCTCGTTCAATTTTAACGAGTTCCACTTCAAAAACAAGCGTAGCACCACCTGGAATGTCATTACCAGCACCACGATCTCCATAGCCAAGTGATGGTGGAATTACTAATTTACGTTGTTCCCCTTCGCACATACTAAATAGTATAAAATGATTAATAGAAAAGATCATTCAAGTCTAACTTACTTGAGCAATCCTTGGTCCCACTAATAAAAAAATAAGCAAAAAAGAAACTTAGCAAAATTTTTAATACTGAAAAAAAACGAAATCAGTCTACCCCTTTGATTACTTGACCAGTACCAATTGTAAAAGTAAATGGTTCGCCACGGTCACGACTGGAATCGAATTTCTTACCATTTGATTTTAAAGTTCCCTGAAAAAAGAAGGAATTCTATTGGTACGCTCAAAAAAATTCACAAATTACCGTATAATGCATATGTAACTTATCACCTTTCTTCGATTTTTTATCACAATTTTCAACTTTTTTCTTTATACCAATCTGTAATTTATCTTCTGCGAATGTAGTGACAATGATCATCAATAGCAATGCAATAAAAATCAAATATTTCGACATTTTTTTCTAAAATAAAAAAAAATGGATGTAAACTTAGATCAGAATTTAACTATAGAACAAATATACGACAAGCATAAAGAGAACAGCAAATGAATCCCCATGCCATCAAACGAAAAACAAAAGTTTCTACAGCTGGCAATGTTTGTTTGTAGCTGATGGCGATTAATGACTGGTAGGTAACATTTCACGAATAAGGAGCAAGCGTTAACAACATAACATAATATATATATAATAGTACAGTGACGCACACCAACGTCCTCTATTTGTTCGTCAAAAGCGTCTGCATTACTTTCGATAGATAGCGTGAGTTTCTCATATCATATCAACTTAATTATTCAATTTCAATTGACATGAACATCTTGTGTATCTGTAAAACAATACCTTTGTTCTTGATTGGTTATTGATATAGTTGAGAACGTTCGCTTTGCTTAATCACTAATATATTTAAAGAATAACTGTGTTCGTTTTCCATTTTTGACGAAATTGATCAACCTATTCGAACAAAATCATTACTTGTGATTATAAAACTATTCTGTGAATTATTTTTATAGATTAAGATTCCATATTTAAACAAATTAACTACCACTATGTCAGAAGTGCACAATCATTATTATTTTGATTTTACAATTGTAACGATTAATAAGACTCAGTTGAGTCTATATCGTAATGACAAACTGGATAGAGGTGGAGTAGCTTACCGCTACTCTAGGTAATGATGTTTATTCGTTTATTCACATATCCAGAGTGTAACGACACAACTAGAGAGTGTCGCCTATGCCCGTCGACAT